ATCGCTAGGACAACTATACTGGATGATATTAGTGAGTATGATAAGATGATCACTGTATCCTTATAATGTTTTGTGTCGGTACTGTTTAACAGATGACAACTGTTTGTTTATTATTGTGTTTAGGTAAGTATTTTCCTACTCCTGAATTGGATGTGGTTCCTGAGACTATTAAAGATCATGATGTAGTTCCACAAGGTATTCAATAATTATTAATATGTGATAATTAATACATTAATTAATATAGATAATGCAAGTACTGATGAAACCAAGATACCAACTAATACACAATCTGCATATGGTAACTTGGCATGAACTTATTGTTTAAATAAATATCATATTAACAAAAATATCTTCATTATTTACTGTGCTATCTTTAGATATGTCTCCTTCTAATTCTAATGCAGAAGTTTCTAGTAATTCTTCTCAACCTTTATCACCTCAAGGTATAAACTTAATGATTAATAATAATAATGACGATGAGTGTGCATGTATTTTGTATTTTTTAGCTGAAGTACATATACCTGTTCCAAAAGATTTGCTTGCTAACTTTAGCTCCATAAGGATGTCTTATGTGAGAATGTTTTACAATGTTTGCAAGATTTTGGAACAGTAATTGGAAGTTGCAGACATCAAGAAGTTCCTTTTTTATTACAGTAGCTCCCTCAGCAAGAAAGCCAACAAATGTTCAGATATTTCTAGCATCCTTCGTCATGTTAAAAATGAGTGTTCACTGACTAATATTGAACTACTACATAGCATAGTAGAGGAAATGAAGATCACTGAAGCAGAGGAACACATCAAAACTTATAGAACAAAGTTGACGGAAGTTTGCAAGTCACTCTCCATCACCCTCTGTTTGAAGGAACGATTTAATTCCATTCCTCATCTTCAATGTCAAACAGCTACTTTTATCTTTGACTGGGAGCCAGAGGAACATGTACTGAAGGATATTAAGGATATTTTATCAAAAGTATCTGGTAAACTACTGATCATCAAGTATATAGAAACCTCCACTTCAATATCTGTCACTTGCTTCTTTCCTTTCTCTGATGTTGGGTTTACTGTATTGAGGATGATAGAGAATATTCATATACTAATGGGACAAGGATTAAAGAAACTGACTATTGGTAACTTAACATTATGGAGGAGACAAGATGTTAGACTAAAGGTACATAATATGAATAATTGAATATTGTTTTATGAATATTGTATAGGAACTAAAAGAAAAGGATCAAGAGTCACTGCAACATACAGAGGTCTGACCATAACTGTAGTGCATGATTTATTAGTGCATGGGGATGAATATTGCTAAAAGGCGAATAAAATTAGCAGACATGCATGTGCTTACATGTTGTATATTTTTTATTTATTCAGGTTATTTCTTATAATATACTTAAAGAAGCTGAATGTAGACTAAGTGATGCTATCAGTAGCAAAGAGAAGGTACATGTATAGTTAAAGTACACATTATAGTGTAAAATTTTGAGAAATTTGCAGATACCGTATAAGATGATTTATTGGCAAGGAATTAATATTGGCGATTGGCAGTTCTATGAAGAAATTGCCAATATAAAATTCGCCATTTTGTTTCAAACCGAGCATGCTCAATGGCACATGGCCCAAAATTGCCAATTTAAAATTTGCCAATAACTTAATTTCTACAGGCAAATTTGCCAAATATTTTTCTTCTGTGAATAAATCATCTTGTATGGTACATTTTTGATGTTGTTTTACTTGTACATTAGGAAACAATTGAATTAAAGCAAGATCTATCAGTGATGGCATTACTTGAGGTTAGCTAATACTCTGAGTGGCAAACATGAATCATAGCATGATGCATGTATACTCTACTGATACTATTTACATTGATTATATGCAATACGTATTATATTATCATTGCATGTGTAATTAATGATTCTGTCTTTTAATTTTAATTTAGGAAGAGTCATTGTCTGTTCAAAGTGATACTGAATCAATTAAAGAAGTTAAAGTATAGATGTATCTCACTAAATTTTTTATTAAATTAATAATAATAATAATAATTAGAAAGAACAATTTGATAAAGAATTGACTGTATTAAGCTCTCAGTTTAATGAGATTGAAGAAGAAAACAAAGAGATGTCCAACAAATTATCAAAAATGAAGGTTGATTATTTGAGATCACTTTCTAGTAATCCTGATTCAGGTTAGAGTACAAGTAGTTTATGCTAATATTTATAATAATTATTATTTAAAGCTGCTAGCAAAGTGAGAAGAGGAATGTCTCTTGAAATTGATGACTGCAAATGCTGTCTTGAAGCAATGACAAGACCAGACTATCAGCCATTAGTAGATAATAAAAGAATAATAGAGAAATTACAAGAAAAAATAACATTAATGAATATGGAACTAATTACTGCAAAGAAGCACAATAAAAAGATCATGAAAGAGATTGAAGGTTTATATAGTAATGATGTGTGTGTGTTATCATTTGATTGCCAATTAGATTTTGACGATGATGAGTCTGAAGTTGAAGATGACGATTCTGAAGTTGAAGAGATTGAGTATGATAGTCTAAGTGATGAAGAGGATCAAATGTGTACAGTGAGTGAGACTGAGATAGCGCACATACACACTGATTTTTTTATTTTATAGTTCTTATTATATTGTAATCATCCTGTTACTGGTCAATTAACTAGTAAATCGTTTCAAGTACATAAAGATGAATTACTACCCACAGTACTGGATACAGCTTATGAGGTTTGTTACTTTTAGTTGCTCTGTTTTGTACATGTACTTTCATTTCTTTATCAGTTAATGGAATTAGCTCCTCATATTCCTATTGAGAGATGTTGTTTAGTTAAATATAATTTTATTAAGGATGTAATGGAACAGTCCTTTGATCTTGATAAGGTACATATCTATCCTATAATTGTCATATTTATTATTATATTCAGTTTCAGGATCAAACTATAGGAAAGCTTATGGGTGTGGCTGGATATTGTGGATTATTCCTAGAAACTTGTAGAGATATTGAGACCTTTAAGAAATACAATATTGGAGGTGGGCGTGCTTGTATGATTACCATATACCTCTAATTACATGTACATGTTTGATGGCGTAGGTATTAATCTAGAGATATCAGTGGTTGATCTGTCAACTGGTGAAGTAGGACCAGCTAAACCAATGAGAGGTGATGGAGGTTGGACTGTTGGAGAATTAAAACAACATATAGGAGAAGTAAGAGGAAGGATATACTGTTGTTTTATATTGATCATTCCTCTCCTACCCTCTCTCAATCTGATCTTTAGTCATTTAATCTCATTTCATCATCTATGAGATTACTAATACTTGATAGAACTCCCTCAGCCTGTGATGTTATACATTTAGAAGATGTTAAAAGTTCTTTAAAGGAAGTGCTCTTTAAAGAAGATGTATTCAGTTCACACAAACTACACAGAGAGCAACTTGTAGTACCAACAGTAAGTGCTAATTGCCCAGGGCAAAGCCCTTACTCGTAAAGTTCTGTTAATTTGTTTGTATGTATGTTGGGGCATGGTCAGGTGTGGAGCCACATAATGTTTTACATTCTTCGAGTGCTAATTATTATTTTTGTGAGCTTGTAGTGAGCCTATAAGACACTCACTCTGTCTGTATGTCAACTGGGAACTGCAACAGTAACTATCAATTATGCAATACATTGGAAATAAGTTAGAACAATCATGCTTGCCTGATTTATGAAAAGGATTCAGAGCAACCATAATGATGTACATGTATATGCTTTTATGCTCTACATTTTCCTTACTGGTTTCTTTTGTCAGGTTAATTAGTTTGGCCAAACAAAAGGAACATGCTATACATTATTTTAATATTTTCCTCCTCCTTACTGTTTTTGTTCACACACACACACACATGCTCTCTCCTTTCTTAGATATACATGTATGTATCATCAGATCCTATAGATTATCGAAAAGAATATAAAGATAGTTTGATGTACAGATATGTTGATTTTGACTTGAACTCAATAATACTATTGGACATTACACTACCTCATTCTCAACCTGAAGCTACTCTCAGTACAGCTAATGTAACTGAAGGAAGAATAATAATGAAAATTATATCAATGAATGAAGAAAATAAAAGAAGTAATATTGAGTAAAATTTTTTTAAAGAATATTAAATATTATGTTATCTAATACAGAGATGCAGGTACAAGTTGATAAGAGAATAACATTAGCTGAATTGAAGGAGGAGCTAGTTCCACTGATTGGTGTACCACCTACTGGTTTTAGAATGTATAGAATCAGTGAGTATGGAGAATATGAAATGACTGGTCTGGATAAAGCATTGATAAATATCTTATCTGGATCAAAAGTATTTTTTGTGTTATTTGATTCATTTCTCCTTTCTATCAGCTCTAAGTACTAAAACTCATCAATCTCTTTATTACTTTGTTTATCCTCTAGATCACAGTAAGACTGGGTAGAGCATTAGGAAAAGGAGAGTACATTTTTAAATTATATTTATTACAACTTAACAATACATACGTAAGAATATTTATAATTATAATTTTTAATTTTTATTTTATGCTTCAGTTTTGTAAGTATATGATGGAGTCTATTTATGCTAAGGGTACACCAGTGAGAGAATTTAAGAAACAAATTATTGAAGAAGCAAAAGTACAAGGAATTGACTGTGTCCTTGAACTAGACAAGTAAGTACATCATGTGACTATCATGTGACTATCATGTGACTCATTGTGTAGAATGAGATTGCGGAAGAAGAGTGAAGTGTACCCTGGTAGAGTATATCTTGATCATCAGACGATTGATACTATTAAGGAAACATATTATGTGGAACCATTGAAAGGTCATAATTTCAATATTTTAATTTTAAACTGTATAACAGTATAGCAGGATTTATTTTTCGTGAAATTGACTAAATTGGTGACTTGTAGATTAAATTTTGTTGACTTCATTATCTCTTACCACATGGCAACTAATAATTGGCAATTTTACCATGCAGCAGGTTTATTTCGAGAATAATAAATTTCGCAAATGACTCATATCTGGAAGTTTGCGGAATTAATTTTTGCGAATTTCCACTATTCGGCCATCTTGTACTGTATTAAGTTGATTTTCAAGGAATTTAATTTCGTGAATCTTTAAAAATTTGCGTAATTTTTTTTATCCTCAAAAATTACCCATTATACGGTAATTTGGTGCTTTCCTAAAAAATTTGCCAACTCACCAAATTTAGTCCCTCACCAATAAATGCTGCTATATGATATTATCAGTATACTGTACTTCACTTGATTATAGTAAGGTTATTGTACCAATTTTTATTAGGACCAGAGAAGATGAAGCATCATACACAGAGACAGGTGTATGTTATAAGATGGCATCCATCACATTTTTATGTTGATCCAATAGAAGAAATTATACTGGATAAAGATAATAATGATCCTAAGCATGTTATTGAAAAGGTAATCATAATTTTATCATTGCACTGCATGGGACAGTACTTGTTCAAACAAGTAGTTATGATGCTCTAAGATTAAAACTGTATATACATGTACTGTATTTGTCTGTGATAAGTAGTTGGCAAATTTTGGATTTCATGCCACATGTCAAGTGGCAGGTTTGATAATGGTAAAAATTGCCAATCACCAATACAAGTCTATAGGTTTATATTAACATTAATTTAGAGTAAGGCTATGAATAAATAGATATGTACATGTATATCATTATTATTATTGTTTTTTACAGCTGTCAGAGTTAAGTGGAGTACCTGCTGAGTATATCTATTTTGCAAAGGTTAAGTATTAGTTAAAGCACGGTTCCCCGTGCTGTATTTCCAGTACAGCACAGGGAGAACCGTGCTTTTACTAGTTTATGGTCATAGTGCGTGGGTGTATCAAAGGCACCAGCCCTAGGCCAAGTGAAGAATAGCCTAAAGAGAACCAAAAGACTGAAAAGAGACTGCAGTAACTGGGCTATCTGATATACAGCATGGGCGGTGCCTTTGATGCACCCACACACTATACTATAATCATTGATACAAAACATAATAAAGATGCTCTCTTTAACTCTTAGAGCGAATCATTTCCAGTTGAGATGTCATGTCTTAATATTGAGAATAAGTTGAAATGGTATTCCATCACTTCAGACACATACTCAAAACTATATAGTGATGGACGTGTCATATATTACAAGTACTGATACGCACACACATTATGTATACACACACATTATGTATACACACACATTTACATGTATATGTACATATGTCTCTTACTGTTTATAATTATTTAGAGACAATAGAGAGACAATGAAAAAGTTAACATATAAAGAGAGATCAGAAATACAAGAGGCAGAGGAAGCAAGGTACTATCAATTAATAGTACAAATAAATGCATTAGTATTATAGAAAATTTGTTTTCATTTTACATTATTTTTTATAATGAGCTTTTAGAAAATTAAATACAAATAAGATGGTCTTCATGTTATTATGATAGTTCATTTATTACATTACTGTAGGTTACAGAAAATTAGGGAATACAAATATCAATATGGAACGTATTGCTTGGATTAATTTTTAATTTTAAAGTATTTTTAATCTTGATTTTTTAAAATTAATGCTACTTTTAAAATAATTTTCAAATGCATTTTAATTTTGTGTAGTTTGTTTAATGTCTCCATTTCACTTATTATTGTTATTATTATTGAGAATTTTACAATGCACTAGACTTTACACAAGAGTATATACCAATGACTTGCTATTTACTAAAGGTCCCTAAGCAACTTGTGCTTGGACCATAAACTACATGTAACTGCTATGTCTACATTCTCTTTTGATCGATCAACAGTGACTAGAGGGAGGAGCTGGCTACATGATACTAGACTTAACAGGATCCTCAGAGGAGTCTGATGACCTGCAGCTGCTTGACCAGTAACACATCATCACAAGGCAACTAAGTAAAATAATCAATTTTGTAGGATTATAGTACATGCAAGCAAAATATTTTAACCATTTTTTTGCGAATTAAGTTAAAAATGAATGGAGTATGATATCTACACATAAACAAAGTTACACTTCTTCCATATCAGTAATATCCTCCTCTTCCCCCTCTCCTTCACTGCTTGATGATGATGAATATTGTAAATCATGACTCAATATGTCCATACCACCACCAGTGACTGGTAACAAACTACTGGCTATCAATCCTTCTCCTTTCCTCCCTTTCTCTATATCCTCTTCATCTGTGCCTTCAACATCTATAGTCCCAATCTATACAGTCATTGGACAATCAACAACTATCATACTGTACACCAGGAAATTTTTTAATTTTGGCGAATTGCTGCATTTTGGTGATTGGCAAATTTGTGGCCACATGCCATTGAGCATGCACATAATGGCTCAAAATGGTGGATTTTTATTTTTGCAAATGGCTATATAGAAATGCCATATTTGCCAATCTTAACTCCCTCCAAAATTTCCTGCTATACAATAATCTGTTTGTTCCCATACCTGAATACTGTCTTCACTAGTAATGATGACACTGGATTGTCCAGTAATATTCATGTTAGTACTAGTATCTTCTTCCTCTGCCTCCTCATCTCCACTCTCTCCTCCTAGTCCTTCTGGTTCATTTAGTGGTGACTTGTCAAAAGGTCCTAACTGGCTTTCATATTGTTCAAAATGTTCTCTTTCCTAAAATAATGATAATAATAATAATAATTGCATTTACTACATGTAGACTGTAGACTGGAACAGAATGTAAAACATAAAAAGGGTAAGAGAAAAGTCTTATTAGTAAACCATGCATGAAAAAATTTGATGTTTTGATGTTTTTGATGTTCTAAAATTGATCAAGTGCATAACGACAATACAAAAATTAAAATAATAAAAATACAACTACTCCTACTCTTCCTTCACCTCTTCAAGATATTGTAGTCCCACTTCCCTCATACTCTGGGCAGTGACAGTAAAGGGACTGGTTGGTCCATTATATGTGATACTGTTATCAACTATTTGATTAAGATCAACAAGAAACTCCTCACGACTTCTGTAACTATCAGCCTCACATTTCTACAAGAGAGCAAGTATGCATTATAGTCCAATGAAATACATATGATGAATACTTTTAAGTATAATTTCAAGAGCAAACCTTTCTCATAGTCTGAAGGTCCATTGGTTTAGTTATGATCATTCTATAATCTGGTAACTTCTTAGAAGATACTGGAAAATGAAATGGCCAAGATTAGAAAAAGACAAGACAGAAATAACATAATATGGTACAGTTATACTGTACATATGAATGAAGACAAGAAACTCATATCACTCACATTAGGTACTACTTTCATTCTTTCAATGGATTTACGACAGAGGAAGGACAGAGCAGCTTGTAGATCATCTCCCAGCAGTGGATTAATCTCATACTCTAGTTTCTCAAGAGCTTGACTGTTCTACAACAAAGAATCCACTCATTATAATCACACCATTACATTATAACACTGAAGTGCTTACTTGATTTATTTCTTTGTTAGACATTTCCAACATCCTTTGGGCAGTTT